GCTAAATTATTACGTTGAATAAAAAAGAGGAGGAGCACGTAGCCTTCATAATTAGAAAAATGTTTATAAACAAATTGAGTTGATTTTTCGGAAATTTCATGCCCGTTGGTGATGTAGAAAAATTATCAATTGATTCGAAAAGTATTTTATCTATCAGTCTACCAAGTTTCATTCGGCTGTGTGATCATGTAACTCTGCGATTTAATAATTTATCTGAAAAAAATCACTTGTTCTTATCATGTCGAACAAGTCCACGTGGAATTAAATCAGAAAAAATATCCATAGTACTAATATTTCAATAAGTAGATGAACGCATAATTTTTATAGAAACAAAAATGTTTATTAGTGGACCGAGCTTCTTCTACTGAAAAAGCCGAATAATGGTGTCGAAAAGTTACAAATCGATTACAGGAGCTTTCAAATAATATAGGAGCCGATTTGCTTATCTTTCGGTGGTCGGCAAAGGCAGACTGTGAAAATGGGCGACCATAGTCCGAAAATAGATTACAAACGTAATATTTCGGGCGCCATAAATATTCCCTGTTAACATCGTCGGCCCCTTTCCCTATCGTTTCGCCAGTTGCTCCCCTGCCCTGGTCGGCGTGTTTCGCGTTTCGCGGACTGCCGCGCCGAGCCGGTTGCCAACGCCACGATCTAATTGGGATAAGACAGATTTTTGTACCAGCTGGCCCTTAATTGGTCGGCCATCATTACGGGTGGTCTCGCGGTTCTAATTGCCGTAGGCGAGTCGCGGATCTTTGTGCGTCGCGTCGCATCGCGCGCGCACTGCACTCAAAAGATTTTCATGGCCGGCGAATTATTTCTAACGACCGGCGACTGTCACGAATAATTTGCGAATCCAAACCGGTTCATTCTCCGTGATGTAATTTAACGTTCCCGTGTCTTTGAGGGACTCTGAAAATTTACTGAACGAGCTTTAGGGAATTCTTAAAAGAATTCTGTGAAGAGACGCGGCGAGGATCAGAGGGATTTTTGTGAATTTGCGATGAAAGAATTTTTAATTGCTGTATTCCAGTAGGTGTTCGCCGTTGAACGTTAAAATGTAATTAATCCTTTATACTCGGAGAATTTGCCTGGAACGTATTTATTAGCGAAATATTAAATAACGCTTCGAATAAAATATAATATGAGATTCAACGTTGGAAATAATTACGCTATTTAGATTGGAGTTTGCGAAAGCGGTGTTGTTGTTGATTTCATAAAACAACTTTTGAATCATAAAGATGCTATAATTACCAACGTCTAATTACTTTGAATTGAAGGTCCTGCGAAGATCGCGGTATTATAGATAACTGGAGAGGTTTAACTCCGTAAGGATGCAAATACGTTTGCACTCTCATTTAAAAAGAAACATCGATTAATTTGTAAATCATGGTAAATAACTTTGACATTTTTTCGTATTATCAAACACAAGAAAAGTATTTAAAGCGGTCAAGTTCACTTTGTTTATCCAGCACAATTAAAAAGCCAGTGAGGAGGACACTATAAGGTCTCGCTAAGCCGTGTAAGATTTAATCATCCCGTTGCTACACAAAAAGACACGTCTGAGAAACAGCCGTGGAGTAAGAATGTTTTTGACTCAGTGTAGGTATTGCAAAATTGTATATGTATATTTTACAGCCATTTCTCCTAACAATTGTGTAAAAATTGACAAGCCTTTCTTTCAAAGTGGAAATCGTCCTCTTCCAATGTGTGTGGATATAGTTTCGAAGATATCTTATTAATTTCCTAATTCCATGTATCCGGTGGTTCATTCCACTTTTGAATCTCTCCTGAACCGGTGAACACGTACACAACGAACGATGACAGCTGGGCAATGATAGTTATCCAAAACACGTATTTCCATCGTGCCATGCTATGCTGTGTCACAAGAAAGCAAGAATTAAAATTACAGGGATTAATATTAATCAACGCTAATCATTATCGAAATGGTTTTGATCGTCCCAGTTTACGGATTAGCGCAAGCAATCGATTTTCATTCAATGCGCGCGGTGGATAATTTCATTATTGAATAGGTGATTAATTTGCATAGTTCTGTGACACGAGTGAAGAATTAGGTCATGCCCCTCATAATGCCGGGTTCAAAAATACTCTAACCGAAGGTATTTTTCACAGATAATATCACAAATAATTTACTGATTTCATGGTGAATAGCATAGCAATAGCATAGCGTTGACTAGACTACGGATTCTATGCATTTTTTAAAAAACTTATTAGGTCAGATATAAAACAGTGAAAATATTTCACGAATATAAAAGTACTGTTGCATTATTTACGACTCATTAAAATGATTAAGAAACGAAAGTTCCTACGTAGTTCCTGTATCTTGCAATTAGTGCAAACAATTTTCATACTGCATAAAAATCTGCAGTTCAGCGATGACTAAATAGTTAATTAGTCTGCGTTTTCCGCTAGTAATTCTCTAGTCGAAGTAAGAGAAACGTTTACTTCTTGAAATATTTATGAAATAATTCATAAGAAAGCAAATTTGCAGAAAGATTGACGGTATAGCGACGAGACGAATGATCGGAATGAACACTTTTTTACTGACCCCATCCTCCGTAAGAGCCCCCACCAAGGCCGGCAAAATGAACGCCGAAATTGTCCCCGGTGTGTTCGTGATGCCCATTAAAATTCCAGCATAATTCGGCGCCAGATCATTCTGATTGCAAAGATGTCCGACGAAAATCGTGCCGCACAATATTATACATACGATCAACAGCACGGTGGTAGTCAAGCGATCGCAGCCAATGTACATGATGGCAATAAGGACTATACTCGTTGGGACGCAGCCTGTCAAATTCATTTTTCTATATCATAAACAAAGTTCTTCTTAATTATATAACACAACTCACTTATGAACACAGCAATCTTCCGAGCATTCGTCTGCGTCCAAGAGTTGTTCCTCCTTCCCCAGTCCAACAATCTTCCCACGAACGGGTTCACGATTGCGTTAATTAAGTACGGCGAACAGCTGAGGACTGCGTTCTGCGCGTACAACGAATGTTAATTAATTCGGAATCACCGATTGATTGCTTTTTTCTTACGAATATCGGGAAGAAATCGTAGAGTATCTAGAATACTATTTTTGAAATGTACAACGATGATTGTGCCAATTCTTAATTAATTTGTCATGCAAATTATGATTTATAATTATTATGTAAATTCGTGTGTGCGTGCAGATGCGATCCTTCTTTAACAATGAACCTACTACAGCTGCTCGAATGAACAGCTCCAAATCTTTCCAATTACGATTACGGAAACAATAAAGATGCAATCATCAGAACTGACCAAACGGATTTCATTATCCGTGCACATCTTCCAATAAATAATCGTACAAACCTAAAGAAAATCAATCGTGTCGCTTTTATGAAGTAATTGAAAACAGTCACTTTTAGAGCACGCGATCAGTTTGAGTAGTCTCGGATTCATAATTGATTTTATGGCTGGACCATTGCATCAAAACAGTAAACGAAAGAATGCATCAGAATGAAAAATATGTAGCGTAAGGTATCAGATAATAAAAACGTATCAAAATGAAGCACAGTAAAATGAAAAGAAAACAAAAATCAATGCAAATGAAGCATTGATCGAAATGTATAAAAGTATTTATAGATAAAAATGTGTAAACATCATAAAATAAAAATCCCGAAAATGTATGCACCGATTGCTTCAGAGAAACCGAGCATGTACAGTAATGTCTCCCTAATCGACGCTCAGATTGTTCACAAAAATGGACAATTTTGGAAGTGGGAATACGATTATTCGATCCTTGCGGCTCGTTTTTATAATTGTTGACAATCGATAACCACAAAAAATGAGCCACAAGGCTCGAACAATCGTATCTCCACTTCCAAAATTGTCCATTTTCGTGGACAATCTGAACGTCAATTAGAGAGACATTACTGTATTCCCTAAAGATGTGGCCCGAAGACACCGATGCAACCGGCCGGGCCGCTAAATGAAAATTTAATTCCTGAAAAATGTCTGGATGGTACCGGAGACATGTAAACAGCATTCAATGTAAATCAAGCTATTAGCGGGAGTTCGTCCAGGAGAATATGTACTGTTCTTGCGCGTTTTCAAAGCTCGATCGAGGTTCGATGCTCTCGACCCAATGAATCGTAAACCGAAAAATACTCACCGACTTGATGTCAAACCTGAGTATCTTGTTCATGTAGAGGGGTAGTTGCGTGAGCAGAAAGTACCAGCAGAAGTTGCCGAAGGTGTTGACATATAGTAACGAGAGGAACGGCACCGATGTGAAGATCTGTTTCCACGGGACCGGCATGGATGCCGATTCCGGTGTCCTGTGCCCGTACGAGGTCACCAATAGTTCCCTCTCCTTCTCGGTGATGTACTTCTGCTGCTCGGGGCAGTCGGCGAAGAACAGGTAAAACACCAGACACCAAATCAACGGGAGCGTGCCGTGGATGTAAAAGACTGCCTCCCATCCGAGCGAGTGCATGATCATCCCGGAAGTAAGGATGCCGATTACGGTGCCCATCGAGATGCCCGCGTAGATGATCGCGACCCACATGGACTTTTCTTCGTAAACGACCCATTTGCCCACGAGCACATTCACCAGGGGTAGATTCGCCGCGCTCAACAGGCCCGTCAGGAATCTCACGATGTAGAGCACTATCAGCTCGTGAGCCGCGACGGGCACCAATATCGTCAGAATGGCGTTCGCCAGCACGCAGATCAGCAGAACGTTCTTCGAATTGAAACTGCGGAATGTTAAGCGCCGATTCAGTCGCACGAATGTCCTCCGGACACGCGAAAACCGGAGATATTAAAATAGGTGTATAATACGATATACAGGGTGTCCCAAAAATGTCTCGCAATCCGGAAATGGCGGGTTCCTCAGGTCATTTGAAGCAGTTTCTTCCTTTACAAAAATTTTCTCCGAGGCACCGTTAACGAGTTATTAACGAAAAACAGTGATCAATGAGAGGCGAGATCAGCTGCCGCGAGGCGGCCGAGCCAACGGCGCCAGCGGTCGAGCGGTCGAATCCCAGCTCAGCTAGCGCGAGGCGGCCGAGCCAGCGGCGCCAGCGGTCGAGGCGGTCGAATCCTAGCTCAGATGGCGCGAGGCGGCCGAGCCAGCGGTGCCAGCGGTCGAGGCGGTCGAATCCCAGCTCAGCTGGCGCGAGGCGGCCGAGCCAATGAGCGGAACTGGGCTTCGTGCGATGGTTGACTGGGCCGCCTCGCGTCACCCGTACTCGATTCTTATCGGTCATTGTTTTTCGTTAATAACTCGTTAACGGTGCCTCGGAGAACATTTTTGTAAAGGAAAAAGTTGCTTCAAATGATCCGAGGAACCCGCCACTTTCGGATTGCGAGACATTTTTGAGACACTCTGTATAATATAATACAGTTTTAAAAATTTCATGAAAATAAAATATTTTGTTCAGTCAAATTATAATTGAGAAGTTAAGCTGTAAAACAACAATTACTTTCTCAACATTCTTACGTTTTGGAGATTTAGGAAACTAACGAATTTAGGAATATAAGTATTATTGAATCTCTAAATCATGTGGACATAATCTTGTGACGTTGACATGGCGTATGTTACAAGCAATTCAGTGGAATCGTGATACACAGGGTCAGTACGCGGTTTCCTGTTAAATTGCAAAAGTCTACCACAGAGACAGCCGAAATGCTTTAGCGCGTCGATTTCTTGCACTACCTTCACATTCGCAAAAGTGAAATCGAAATTAGAAAGGCGACATTTAAAAGCCCTAGTAATTATAGAAGAAGTTCACGTCGATTTACAGCAGACGCTTCCACTAGAATGCTCGTAGCACACGTGAAGATATTTGCAGCTCGATGAAAACGGGGAGTGATAAGCAAAAGCAAGTTATTCGAATTTTCCTGTGTCTTTGATATTCAAAGAGCTTCAGTGATTAACATGGGACGGTTGAAGGACTTCGTAGACAGCTAACGCTCCTGACAAAGTCTCGCGCTGTGCCCCATTGATTTAGTTCGTTGTTAGAAAAAATCTTGGTTAAAATTTTTGATATTAAACTAAAAATAAAAGTTCAACGTTTGTTCCTAGAAATCGGAAGGGTTTGGGAATTTTGATAGATAGGAAGGTAGCCTGATGCCAAGTCTACTGCTGTCACTGCCGCGTATTAAACCTCCATAAAACCTTAATAAGGCACGAGCGGTTATTTTCTGTTAATAAGACAAAAAATCTCAGGTAAGCATCATAAAGAGTTGTTTCTTGTCTTCTATTGCTCAATTGCAAGACTTACGAGCTTAGACGCTTGGTGAATTGTTTCAAAAGAAAATGCTATTGGTGGTCCATTGAGTCGATTGTAACAGTAGCAACGCACCGATCTGAAAAGTATCCGGAAGGAAACATCCCTACGAGGTAGCCAGCGAAGTAAATGCTGATTACTAGACCCTGTTCCGTGGTGGACCAATCGAAAGGACCGTCGATGTCCACAATCGCACCTTCAGGAACTTCGAAATTACATTCGTTATCATCATCCCCTGGGTCTCCGTTCTTCGTAGCCTTGACCATGCCAACGATGATCGTGGATATGTTGACTTTCAGACCGTAGATGATCATATTCGCGATGCAGAGCATTATCGCGAACAGGTATCGCACTATTTGCAGATCTGTCGGAGACACAGAAACATGGAGCATTTTCAAACAAACTGTTCCCCGTCAAATCCCTCGAAGAATAATCTTAATTTAGCAAACTTTATGGAAAATGTATTTATAGAAGTGTTGACAGTTCTGTTTCCTTTCTGTTTCAGGTGAGTCTCGAGTGATAACCTATCTTAAGATCTTGAACACATGAAGCAGACAATACGCATATTACCGTAAGTGTTCTTTTACAGAAGTACAGTAATTTCTCCCTAATTCGCGCTAATTCCCCTAGTTACCGATTATCAACAACTCTAAAAACGAGACGCAAGACTCGAATAATCGAATGTACTCTTTCTATTTTTGTGCACAATCTGAGCGCGAATTAGGGAGAAATTACTGAACTTTATTTTTGGCAAGCCTATCGTAGATCCGTCAGAGTCAATTGAGCCGATTGGGATTTTAAACAGCAATGCATTAAAAAGCACGAACGATAACAAATATTTCATCTCTGATGCAAAGGATTTAACCTATACTGATTTTGACATTTAGCTCACACAAACTGACATCGGCTAATGAATGGAGTTGTATATAAATAGAGAGATAAAAAAAATTATTTCTCGCTCACCCATGGCTTCTATTCTCTTCCTGAAAAACCTTTCATAACAATTACGAAAAAAGTTGTTCATATAGCTCGTTTCTTGCCACTTTTCATGAATCTTCTCTCGATCAAATCTTCGTCCACTTGCATACTCGACAGCTCGATGACCACCATCGAATTGTCATTCACAATATCATAAAAGGTTGTATAGACAATCGTTCATTAAGACGATTTATCGTTCACTTTATCGTCGAACGTTATCGTCGCATCCAGTTTCACATGGCGTGAAGCAACGCGTTATCGTTTGTTTTCAACATTTTAACAGTTCCCAGCACCTGATCGCTAAAACAAAAACATTTATAAAAAATTTCAATGTTCGTACATCAATTCATCAATCTGACGAAACTTTATTTATATAACTCATTAATCTGAAAAAAAACTCCATCCTTTTATATTGACTTACTATTGCCCATTGATCTCTGTTATCACGATTTGCACATGGATACTTTACAATCGTCAAAGACCTACGAAGATTATTTTCAGATCTTGGCGATTATTTGGACAGTATACAGAGCGAGTCATTGAACTCTTTCAGCTTAATTTGTATGGGAAACTATACGTTGTACAAAAAAATGTTTCGAACAAAAGTTGTTTGATATAAAGAGGAGCATGCGCGGCATTCGTCTGCAGATCAAATGTTGCACATTCCACTTAAGAAACTCAAGATAATCCTCATATTTTAATGAAAAAGGAAAGCATCAAAAAATCCATTGTTGCCGTGTTTGTTCCTCTTTACATGAAACAAGTTTCGTTCTGAACTGTTTTTGCGCATCGTGTAATTTACGAGAAAAATTAAAGTGAAAAAGTTAAACCACTTACCCTGTATACATTAACAAGTACCTTTCATTTAAGTATCGTTAAGGTGCAAATCAGATTGGATAGGAATATGCGCACTGATTCAAACGATGATTTAGCGTCACATTGAACGCCGTCGCTGTGCCACACCGACACGGGCCTCGTGTGTTCAGTTACTCCGCCCGCGCTGTAATTACCGGCGACAATATTCTTATCTAATGTTTGCGGCGATGATGTTTGAAGAAGTATCAACCGTTCGAAAGTTTTTATTGTGCTGCGACGCGACGTCTACCTGTTGAACGCTATCGTTATATAGCGGCAGCGTGCTTTTCGTGACGCGTCGCGACGTCCTCCGCGAAGCTACCGACTCCGGACTCCCGACATTTGCGATTCGCGTCGACGAATAACCGTGCGCTCGTTGTTGCTGAAATTTTGACTAAATAAATATTTAACTTGCCACTCGAGGGCAACGATTCGTTAAGCGGTTCGATGAAAAATGCACGAGTGAAACTTACGGTTGTATTTGCGTGCCGCGGGCGCTTCGGCAATTTTCGCGTAGAGAATTTCAATCCGCAAACATAGCAAACAGAATAAATCAACTGTCACGTTTTACGTAAGATCGCGGATTTTTCTATGCGCTGAAACATGTGTTTTTTTCTCGATTAGCGAGTCATAATCGTGAAAGTACCGACCGCGGAACAAGAACTTACTTTAAGACGAGCATTTGCGCGAACTTTAATTACAAATTTTCAACGAATCTCGCGGAACGCTTGTCAATTAAATGAGTAAATACTGCAGTCCCATGCAGAAACTTATTCATGTGTTTACGGAAGAAAAATCGTACTCTAAAATAAAATAGAATGATGCGAGATTGCATCGCATTGGCGGAGAAACAGACTTTGAACGAAACTGATAACATGTTCAATTGTTTCTGATGTAACAGTTACCTTTAACTGTTAACTTTTTTCTTCTAAGATAACAGTTATAAATCCATAACTGTATAAAAATCACGACTTGCTTACCCGTCTATATTTATCCTGTTTTCAGTTCCTTAAAAAATGCTAAGTAAATTGAAAACTAGCACGAACTTTCATATTTTACTTTACAATATCCGAAACGAAATAAATGTTCCCTCAGAATGTTTATCAATCAAATACAGAGTAACCGTTAAACTCGAGCTGTTATAACAGAATTAAAGCGTTAATGTAAAAGTTAACTGAAAACGAAAAAAGAAATAATTCAGAAGTTAAGAGTATACTAATTAACTAATATCTATCAAAGTTTACAATTCAACTATAGTTAAATTCAAGCTTGCGGAGAATGCTTTGAAAATGGAAGTTTGCTATTTTCCCGATGCGCAGAGTCCCGTGATGATATTTAGTTTCGCATTAACGTGAACGAATCCGTGCTAACATCTGAACTTTCAATTTATAGCATACGATAATAGCGGGGGTAATGCGTGGCACATGTTCTACGAAATTTCCACTATCTACCGAGCCTCCTATAGTTGTCTCCTTGAACAAAAGGCTATTGACACAAAGTGCTGATAAATTAGTGCAGAGCCGAGTGATGCATAAACAGTCTATAGTAGAGATAATGCATGAATATAGGTTGCTGCATAGCGACGCGTTTATCAATACCTTCGCATAATTTATTCACGACGCGAGATTGATGAACGCTCCATTGTCTCCGTAATAAACATTGCGACCGACAGATTGTCTCTGTCGTATCTAATAGCTTCACTCCCATAATTGGGAAACTCGAAATAGCAGGTCGAAAACAGACAACCCGATCGAAACGGTTATTGCTTCCTTCGATTATTCTTTGCCAATTTCGCATTCTTACCACTTTACTATAGGGTATAAAATAAATACTTACAACTTTTGTAATATTCCAATGAAACTGCACCCATAGCTTTGGCCTTGTAATGTTGTCCTATTCAAGTAGGGCTTTCTGTAATTACAGATTACAAAACACTATACATACAAAAGAATCATTTCAACAATTTTTTAGTTCATTAACTTAATATATTAGTCTTATGTTTTGCTTAGTGGATGACCTGAAACGAGATCTTGTTCTCAAGTCTCTTGACAAACTAGCAATAATTTAGACAAGATCGAGGAAAAGAGTTTACTAAAAAGCGAACTTTCAATGCTACACGTAAAACATTCGCATAACATAGCAGCAAGAATGAAGCGTTTAAGAGCAAGTATCCACATACTTATTGAATCGTAGTGTAGTATGTAGCTTGAATCACTAGGTTGCAAAGTTCCTGCAATCAATCCGAAAATGAGAACTCGAGAATATTGCCTCTTGTAAGTCGAATTGGCACAAATTTCCGCTTTGAACGCAGAGAAAAATAATCGATTGATTGGAAAGTACGGATGATAATATGAGAAGAGGGGAACGAGGCTGGAATCTACATAAATAAATAACAACCATTTCCACTCAACGCCCGTTCTCTCTTGCAAACGCTGCAGAAAATCGTCGCGTATCGAGATTTGCGTTAGAAGAACCGATCCTCTTCGGATCCTCGCCAACAGCCGTCGAAAATTCTAAGCCGCCCACGCGACTTTCACCTGTCCCGTAAGTTTGACAGACACGCACCTGCTGGAGGCAAACAGAGATCGACGGCGATCGTGTCCGGCTTTGAAACGGTCGGTTTCATTCAGAGTCCGGCCAGGACAGGCGTAACGAAAGGTTCAACGGTAACGGGAACAGGAAGGCTTCGGGTGATTACGAGGACAGCTTACCGAGATGGATGGCTCGGCGAGACAACCGAGTCGGATATAACGTCGCCGGAGACCCCATCTCGAAGCGTTTGTTCGTCGTCGTCCTCGTCGCGCGCGGATTCTATTCGGGCCGAGGTGAACGTTCGCGCATATCCGCGTTGAAGGAGCCTGAAAACCACTCGAGAAAATGCGAAGTCTCGACACGTTAAAAATGAATGTGCCATCACGGTTGTGCGTGAAGAGGCGGCGCGGCGCGAGGACTGGAAGAGAAAGAGGACGCCGCGGCCGTGCCGTGCCGGCAGACGCCAGGAAACCGAGGATCGAGACAAAGAGGAGGACAAAGTAGAGGCGCGAACGCAGAGAAAAAAGAAGAAGAATACGAAGAAGAAACCGGCGAAGTGCGTTTTAAAAGTAGGTACAACCCGTTCGACGACGACTCTCGTGGAGAAGTAGAAGCGTTCGAGGCGTCGCGTCGCGACAGGACAAGGATGCCGTCGACCGATTAGACGGAAATCCCCGGATGAAACCGGTCCGAGGACTCGGCCCGGCGATTGTTCGCTGGTCAGCCACTTTCCCGCCTTAAGATTCTCTTCAGAATGTAAACAGACCAAGCTCTTGACGGACGGACCGCAACCTACTCGAAATAGAATCAGTCAAAGGCTGACACTTCTCGCCGGAGGAATACCAATTAGCCGCTGGAAGTCGGTCCTGCTAACAAGCGTGATGCCCTCTCGACTGTCGACTCCCGACTCTCGACTCTCGACGTTCTTCGGCGTTTCGTCCCGTCCCGTCTCGACCCATCGCGTCGCTTCGTCGCGGAACCTCGGACCACCTACCGCGAAAGTAAAGCGAAGCTTTTCTTCCTCCTTTCCCCTCTGCTTTACTCTCTTCTCCGCACCGCTTCGTTCTGCTCCGCTTTGCCATCGTCGCAGCCCTGTCCGTTCGCCGACCATTCGCGTCCGACTGTGACTAATTATAGATGTTTGTCGAGTTTTTATGATGTTTCTCTTTAACGTTGTTGGCTCGCGGAGTTTCGTAACTGATGACGTCGGCGTCGACTCCGGTGCTTGTTAATTATTTGTTTACGTTCGAGGAACATCTTAGAAAAGTCGACGAATACGCTTTCCCGTACTTGTTCAGATATAAGAACGTTGATTGGAACCGGGAGTCGACTGACGCAAAGAGTTCGTCCATATCTGGTGGTTTTGTTAGAACGTTGAATACATAATCGATTAAGGAAAAGTGCACACTTTGCAAACGTGGATAAAACGGGGACTTTCAAATGACGAGTTACTCGCAGCTATTAGAAGAGTCTGAATATTTGAATCGTTTCGAATCAACACGATTCTGTAGACAATTTTTCCGGAACTCCATATTCAAAATGTAGGAAATGCGTAATAGGACATAAAAGGAAATGTCCTAGGATATGTCTGTTCAACTTGTTTTATGAGCCCGCATTCTATCCTAAAGACCGCGTCCCAAATGTCAAGACATTCCATGGCTGATTGTTAACAAAACACTGAACCACGTCATCCGAGATATGTTCCAGCAGCTTCGACGAACCGTGCAGCATATCTAATTTATGAAAATACATAAAATATGAAACTCTTGTTGGATGTCGACACTTTGAAACTCGTTCAAAATTCATACAGATTTCTATAAACGGAGATACTATCTTGTTGGTTGTATGACCTCCGAGATAAGGACGTCCAAGAGAAAACTAACATCCAAGTAACTACGGACGAATACGAATGCTTTTGAAATCATTGAAGATCTTGCATTTCGATAATAATCGTTTTGGATAAAAGTCAATTACGACCAGAACTCAAATTCAATCGATATCGATTGCGCATCAAGCAATAGTTAACATCAGGCCATCGTTAATTCCATCGTTTGCTGTCCATCAATCGAGTATTCGCTGACCATCGAGCGTTCTCGACGAACGGCGGACGCTTCCAAACACGTTGTTATTGCATCCAGACGATCGTAAATATGGCTGTGCCAACAAATGATTCGACCGTTCCTTCATTTTGTATCCAATAAATTCGGGGAGCAGAGAACGATAGACACGTTTCTGATAGAAGATCCGCGGCAACGATTGGGCTCGCAGAGTCCGCTCACGGATGACGCTTAAATGGAAAACGCGAAGGTAAAGCTGCCGTACGGAGATAGACATCGTATCGCTAAAAATATATACAAGGGAGACGAATGGCTGATATATGCGGGCATTAGTTATACAGGAGATGTACGAGCGTCACTCTCACTCGGCGTGGCTCGGAGATCCCGGCGCGCCGCTCCGCGCCTCGCCTCGCCTCGCCTCGCCGCGGCGTGGCGTGGCCCGACGCCCAACCAACGTGCACATCGCACATCCAACATAATCGGAAACGACCCATATTTCCCCGCCGCAATGCGTCAACTTCCCTGCGATTCCCGTTTCGTACCTCCATTTTTCATTCCTCCCCCGTGATCTCGATGTCCAAATTCACCTTCCGTGTCATCAGGACCAACCACTATTCCTTCGTTGTCATCCCCCTGTCTGGGGTAGCGTCGAGCGCGGCGCGTCGGCCTTCTGGGACCAGACCAAGTTCGAGGATCAGCGACGACGGATGATAAACTGTCACCTGTATACTCTTCTTCGGCCGCGAAACCGAAAGTGTTTCCCTCTTCCGAGCATCCATCAAACGGTCTCCTTGTTTTTATTATTGGATACGGCTGGCTCCGATGCCGAAAGTGTTTCCTCTTTATTCGCGCGGTGATCTGCCGGTCTTTTCGGTATCTTCTCTTCAGTCTCTCTGGATCTAAGGTAGCTGCTTCGAGTGTCTTCCCCCCTCTTCTTGCAAGAATCGAACTTCTTGCAGTGTTTTGGTTGATCTTCCAGTGCGAGTTGCTTCCGGATGAGCTATTGAAAGCGTGTCTCCTTCTTCTCGCATTAACCCTTTCGCTGCGGAACGCCTAAAAATGAATTACTCTCTCAGCAGCCGGCGCGATAGTAGATTGTCTGTACGAACGACACGATACGCGCGACGCTCGTAAGACGGTGTGTGAAACCGATTTTGCTGGTCTTTTCTTTGAGGNTCGTCCATATCTGGTGGTTTTGTTAGAACGTTGAATACATAATCGATTAAGGAAAAGTGCACACTTTGCAAACGTGGATAAAACGGGGACTTTCAAATGACGAGTTACTCGCAGCTATTAGAAGAGTCTGAATATTTGAATCGTTTCGAATCAACACGATTCTGTAGACAATTTTTCCGGAACTCCATATTCAAAATGTAGGAAATGCGTAATAGGACATAAAAGGAAATGTCCTAGGATATGTCTGTTCAACTTGTTTTATGAGCCCGCATTCTATCCTAAAGACCGCGTCCCAAATGTCAAGACATTCCATGGCTGATTGTTAACAAAACACTGAACCACGTCATCCGAGATATGTTCCAGCAGCTTCGACGAACCGTGCAGCATATCTAATTTATGAAAATACATAAAATATGAAACTCTTGTTGGATGTCGACACTTTGAAACTCGTTCAAAATTCATACAGATTTCTATAAACGGAGATACTATCTTGTTGGTTGTATGACCTCCGAGATAAGGACGTCCAAGAGAAAACTAACATCCAAGTAACTACGGACGAATACGAATGCTTTTGAAATCATTGAAGATCTTGCATTTCGATAATAATCGTTTTGGATAAAAGTCAATTACGACCAGAACTCAAATTCAATCGATATCGATTGCGCATCAAGCAATAGTTAACATCAGGCCATCGTTAATTCCATCGTTTGCTGTCCATCAATCGAGTATTCGCTGACCATCGAGCGTTCTCGACGAACGGCGGACGCTTCCAAACACGTTGTTATTGCATCCAGACGATCGTAAATATGGCTGTGCCAACAAATGATTCGACCGTTCCTTCATTTTGTATCCAATAAATTCGGGGAGCAGAGAACGATAGACACGTTTCTGATAGAAGATCCGCGGCAACGATTGGGCTCGCAGAGTCCGCTCACGGATGACGCTTAAATGGAAAACGCGAAGGTAAAGCTGCCGTACGGAGATAGACATCGTA